TAGTACCAAGATTTTATTGACTTTTTAGCACATCCAGTATTGCAGCCTCCTTTTTCAGTTAACTTTGGCAGCATCATCTTTAGTAAAGACAGATGCAAAGTTCTGATTAATGCTTCAGCCGTGCCATCTGCCTCCATGTGTATATTCCCATTTTTTTTGTCGATAATCAGCCATCTCCTCTAACCACCTTTTAAAATTAATTAAATACCTATGGAAGACTTTTGACTTCTCATTTATTTTGACTACCAGTCATCTATACTGTCCTTCTTTGTTTTTCACTTCCTGTTTAAATGTTCTGTATTCTGCCTGCTTCTCATTTCTGTTATCAACCAGACGTCCATCATGTCGTGCTCTCCAATGCTTTCCATGACGGTGGCATTAAAATCATATATCATATAGACAGGGCATTATGTAGTCTGATGCAACTCCATGAAAAGACCAAGGTCTTTCAAGGACATACTTCACAGTTTCCTTTTTGTTAACACTGCATTAGCTGCTAGTTTGGAACTGGACATGCAATGTCACATTGACATGTTCTGCAACACGTATTTCAACCTTGGCCGTACTGTCAGCACAAAGCCTGTGCCAGGAAAGCCCTGATCCACTCCACATTCCCCAATCCTTCAACACTGGCTCACTCTTGCCAGTCCTGAGCCTTCATGGGAGCTGCCTTTGCCCTTGTCCCCCACCTTGTAGATTTCAACAAGGAAATCCACTGACCACAAATACAATTACACAAAGCCAAAGGTGCATACCAGTTTTAAACAAATGTGAACCATGTGTGACGTGATTTCATGTGCCACTGACTTTACCATGAAGGCAGAACACCATTAGGGAAAGGTTTTATCTGAGGGATATTCATGGCATGCAAATCCATTATAAGTAGGAACCTGCCATCATGAATAAAATTTCAACTCTCGCCTAATTAAGTTAGCCCACTCACCGCTCTCCCACTCTTACGGGCCCCATAAAATCCCTTCCTTCCTTCGTTCAACGTCTCTTTGGCATTAGACCAAAAGCATTACTGCTATGCTCCTGATCATGGTAGATATAAACTAGTTGTTCCTTTGGTATTACGGTCTAATCATCTTTTTAACAATGTGCTAAGTGTTTATTTGGTGAGTGGGGGTGGGTACAGTTAGCTCAGTTGGCTGGTTGCAATGCAAATAAATGCCAACAGCATGGGTTCAATTCCCACTTTGACTGAAATTACCATAAAGGCCTCTCCTTCTCAACTTCTCCCCTCACCTGAGGTGTGGTGACCCTCAGGTTAAAGTGCCAACTGTCGTTTCTGTTTGATGAGAGAGCAGCCTATGGTCTGGTAGGACTGTGGCAACTTTACCTTTATGTATTTATTAGCTCCAAACATCCTCTCGTAGACTGAACATTAATGAATATAGTCTCCATCCTTTTAAGTTTGAATTGTTGCTAATGCAAAAAGTGTATACTTTCAATTTTTTTGAAAAATATTCTTTCTGTCTCTTTTTCCTCTGTATGCAGAACTCAGTTGTGACATACTGAAAATAATGTTTGCAACAGTTTTTTTAAAGTTTACAAAACTAGTGCAACAAGATTCAATGTTGTACTTGCCCATACCTGTCTTCACCCTCCTCACTGCTGAGTCATAGAGTCATACAGAATGGAAATAGACCCTTCGGTCCAACCAGTCCATGCCAAACGTAATCCCAAATTAAACTAGTCCCACCTGCCTGCTGCTGGCCCATATCTCTAAAAACCTTTCTTATTCATGTACTTGTCCAAATATCTTTTAAACATTAAAGATAAATGTATCTACACCCGCCACTTCCTCTGGAAGTTCATTCCACACACGAACCTCTATTAAAAAAATTGCCCCCATACCTTTTTAAAACTCTTTCCTCTCACCTTAAAAATGTGCCCCATAGTCTTGAAATCCCCCGTCCTAGGGAAAAGTCAACTACTATTAACTTTATCTATACCCCTCATTATCTTATTCTATTACGTCGCCTCTCAATCTCTTATGCCCCAATGGAAAAAGTCCCAGCCTTACTAGCCTTTCTTTATAACTCAAACCTTCCATACCCAGCAACATCCTGGTAAATCTCTTCTGAATCCTCTTCAGCTTAATAATATCCATCCGATAACTGGACGACAAAGTATAGTATTGTTACTGTTGTGACAAAAAGTACCCTCTGACTTGCTGTTAGCATTGCCACTGGAACGCTGGTTGTAAAAGCCCTGTTCCTAGCTTGCACCTTGTGTAAGATAGACAGACCTTGATATCAGTATACAAGTGCTCGGTGCATTTTTGTGTTCATGGCAGTATTAAAAGCTTACTTCAACCAGATAATGGAACTGACAAACGGAGAAACTTGTTATGACTTTGTTACAAAATCACAGAATTGTTATGGTGCAGAAGGAACCCGTTCCAATATGGTAATATTGCACAATGTCGTTTACAAATTCATGGGGACGATTTTATGATTTGGCAATCCCAGCATGGTCCATGATAGCTTGCCTGCTGGGGTTTCGGGTGCAGAGATTAACCTGACTCACATGCAAGTTTCCGTCCATGTGCGTTATTTGACGTCTAAATGTGTACAGGGACTTTTCTGTGCCTGGTTTCCTAATGTGCACTCCCAGCATCCAATGTGTTTTAAGCATGCTTGTGATAATGGCTAATGAATGCAGTACATAATTCAGAGAACCTTCTTAGTGGTGAATGTGTGGAGTTTAGTAGCATGACTGAGTGGTCAAAGTAACATCAATTGAGGAGGAATAGAAGGATATGTTAGTATAATGTGATGAATAAAAGTTGGAGGAGGCTTGTGGACCATAAATGCTGGCATGGACATTGGGAGAAATTATCAGTTTCTTTGCTGTAAAATTCCAAGTATATTCCATGTCATCCTTTTGTCACATCTTGGAACATATCAGAGTATTAATATGGTGCTATATACTGGATAGTTAGTTATATACTGGATAGCTTAACTAGCTGGAAAGCTGGTTTGCTATACAAATTGAGGCCAACAGCGCAGGTTCAATGAATGAGAACAAGTCAGCTCAGCGAGCAAGGCAACAACCTTAGTCTACTTTTGTTTATTTAGATAGACCTGCTTATAGGTTCAAAAATGATAAGAGGATAGGGGAGGGTGATGGTATTATCACTAGGCTATTAACCTAAAGACATGGCAGACCCAGGTTCAAATCCTGCAATGGCAGGTGATGGAATTTGATTTCAACAAAAGTCTGGAGTTAAGAGTCTAATGACGACCATGAAACCATTGTCAATTGTCCAAAACAAAAACCCATCTAGATCACTAACGTCCTTTTAGGGAAGAAAATTACTGTCCTTGCCTCATCTGGCCTATATGTGACTCCAGACTCGCAACAATCTCCTCTGATCAATTAGATACGGGCAATAAATGCTGGCCTAGCCAGCAATACCCACATCCCATGAATAAATTTTTTAAAAAACTTAGCCATTTCATCCAAAGAAACTGATTCATTCAAAATGAACTTAAAGACTTTGTGAATTTAACTGAAGAAACTATGACGCTTGAAAATTAAGTACATGTTTTGTTCAATTTTAAGCAAAGTTTCTGACACAATATACTTTTTAATAACAAAGATTTTCCACCTCCACTTCTCTAACATTGTCCCCCCTCCACCAGTACCTCAGTACAACCGCCATTTAGTTTTGTACTGACTCAACTATTCTCATGGTCTCCTGGCTGGCCTCCCAACTTCCACTCTCTATAAACTCAGCCAAGCTCTGCTATCCACATCCTAATATGCAGAAAGTTCTGCTCACCCACCACCCCATCCTTGACTCCTTAATTCCTGAACGTCCCGAATTTTAATATTCCCATCTCTTGTGTTAAATCCATTGTGATATCCCCCTCCATTTCTCTTTAATTTCCACGAACCCTGAAACTCAGTTCTTGCACCCAGTATTCTTCTGACTCCAGAGTCTGCGCTCATTCCCTTTACTCCACCACGGGTAGTTATGTATAACTTATGGGGCTCTTTTCATCCTTAAGTCTACCTTTTCTCCTTTTAAAAGTCATCTCCAAACCTATTTCTTTAACTCTTCTTTATCCTGTCCACTCATCTGTTTTTAATAGACTTGAGCTGTGTAAAGATATTTTTCTAAGTTGCAAATAAAGGTAAATAGTTGTAAGTGGATAACGAAGCAGAACACTGTGGATTCTGAACATTTAAAGTAAAAACAGAAAATGCTGAAGTATTCAGCATTTCAGGCAATATCGGTTGAGGGACAAAAATTGAGTTAACAGTTCAGGTTTCTTCTTTTCATCAGAGCTGAGAGGAAATATTAGAAATGTAAAAAGTTTTGACCAAAGGGTGAGTGGGACAAGGGAGGTCTGTGATAGAGTGAAAGAAGGAGAGGTTCAGTGACAGAAAGATTAATTTTCTAGGGTCAAAGGAAATAAAATACTGCAGAGATAGTAGGAACTGCCGATGCTGGAGAATCTGAGATAACAAGGTGTAGAGCTGGCCAGGCAGCATCAGAGGAGCAGGAAAGTTGACGTTTCAGGTCTGGACCCTTCTTCAGAAAAATTTTTTTTCTCTACACCTTGTTACCTAAAATACTGCAGATGCTGGAAATCTGAAATAAAAACAAATGCTTTTACGGCACCTATGGGAAGAGAAACAGAGTTAACATTTTGAGTCCAAAGATGACTTCAGAATAGGGTGTTCGTACGACTAAGGAACAGAATGAAAGGTGCAAGCTTCAAATCATAAGAATCACATACAGAAATCACATAAATATTTGCATGTAAAAGTGTATTTTAAATGTCTTTAGAAAGAAATTTAAACATTTTGGGGTGTGGGGAAAATTTGCTTAAAAGATTGCACGAGAATATAAGGGAAATAGTAAACCTCTGAATGGGATTGCTGTTTATTGGAATGCATGATGTATGTAGAAATTAACACTAAGATTTGTTTTTTTCCCATGTAACTTTAATGTGCTAATACTTTGTTTTCATATTTTGCAGTTGATTGGAACTTTCATCCTTTGTATTGGCATATATGCAGAAGTTGAGAGACAGAAATACAAGACACTGCAAGGTGCCTTTTTAGCTCCAGCTATAATCCTGATTTTGCTGGGAATTCTGATGTTTGTGGTGTCGTTTATTGGTGTTTTAGCATCTTTGCGGGACAACTTGTGCCTTCTGAAAGTGGTAAGACATGCTTTGCTAGTACTACGATATTATTGGCTGTTTACTTCCTAACTTGGCATTGATTCTTTTAAAATATGTTCTCAAGGTGAAAGAAGCTTAGTTTAAACAATTTGAATGTGATTTCCTACCTAGCTGATTGAATATTTTCCCAAAACACTTCATTTAAATCCAGACTGCATTCTATGAATAATAATGATGTGAACTAGAAAATATTACTGTTTAAACTCATATTTATTGTTTTGGCCATAAACTCATGCTGCACCCTAAAAGCTGGTAATTACCATGTTGAAAGTCCAAATGTTCTTCCTGGCACTAGTGTCGTTTTGTTTGCTGTGTGATATAAAGAAAGATTAATTGTTTAGTTTGTAAAACAAGGTTTAGATGGAAATCATTTTGTAAAAGCACAAGTGAAATACAAAAAAGAAATCCTAAAATATAACACCTAATAAATTATAGTCACTTGGAAATTATTACATTATCAAGTAAACAGGTAGCATGTTTTTCGCTTCTATTTTACCAAAACATTAACCAGTAGGTTTCAAGATTTAATGTTTTGCAACTATATAATTGGTACAAGGCAAGTCAGTTAGCCCTTGCTACTGATAACTTAATGAAAAGTTAGATTTTGCTAGTTTAATTTCCTGATTAATAGTAATCAATTTGAATTTACTGAGGTACTTCTAGGATAAGAAAGAGAAATCTGACTTGTTTAATGAAATACATTTGATTTTGATCCTATAGAATTCCTTGGATCTAAAATAATTTCTGTGGATCAGTAACATTCATGAATTCATGATAGAAAGAAGAAACATAGAAACTCAAGAAAACAGGGGCAGGAGTAGGCCATTCAAATATGCTGTGCCAATCAATGCAGTCATGGCTGATAATCCTACTCAGTACCCTGTTCCCTCTTTCTCCTATATTTTTGATCCCTTTACCCTAAGCACTATATCTAACTCCATCTTGAGAACATTCAATGTTTTGGCCTCAACTTCTTTCTGTAGCAAAGAATTTCACAGGCTTTCCAGGTGTAAATATTTCTCCTCATCTTGGTCCTAAATGGCCTAACCTGTATTCTTAGACTGTGACTCCTGGCTCTGGACGCTGCAATCATCAGGAACATGTTTATCCTGTCATAGAGTCATAGAGTAATGTAGCATGGAAACTGGCCCTCTAGCCCAAACTGACCATGGTGCCCACTAAGCTAATTCCAATTGCCCGCATTTGATCCATATCCCTCTAAACCCTTTGCATCCATGTACCTATCCAAATGTTTTTTAAATGTTGCTATTGTACCTCCCTCAACCACTTTGTCCAGCAGCCCATTCCATAAACGCACCACTCTCTGCATGAAGAAGTTGCCCCTCGGATCCTTCTTAAATCTTTCCCCTATCACCTTAAACATGTGGCCTTTACTTTTCAATTCCCCATCCATGGGAGAAAGACTATATGCATTCATCCTATTTATGTCCCTCATGATGTTATACACCTCAATAAGGTCACCCCTCATTCTCTTACATTCCAAGGAATAAAATCCTGTCCTGGCCAACCTTGCCCTATAACTTAGGCCCACTAGTCCTGGCAACATCCTCGTAAAACTTCTTTGCACACTTTCCAGTTTAACTATGTCTCATGTGTAACAGGGTGACCAAAACTCTACACAATACTCCAAGTGCAGCCTCACCACAACGTATACAAATGTAACATAACGTCCCAACTCCTACAATCAGTGCCCCAACCAATGAAGGCTAGCATGCTAAATGCCTTCTTCACCTATGGTGCCACTTTCATTGAACTACTTACTTGTACTTGTAGGTCTCTCTGTTCCACAACACTCCTGAGGACCTTACCGTTTACTGTATAAGTCCCACCTTGGTTTGACTTTCCAAAGTACAATACCTCACACTTATCTGTATTGAATTGCATTTGCCAATCCTCAGCCCACTTCCCCATCTGATCAAGATCCCTCTGTAATTTTTGATAAATATCTTTGCTATCAACGATACTTCTTAATTTTGTATCATCTGCAAACTTACTAATCATGCCTTGTACATTCACATCCACATCACTTACATAAATAACCCCTGTGGCACACCACTGGTCACAGGCCTAAAGTCCAACAAACAACCTTCAACCATCACCCTCTGCTTCCTACATCAAACCAATTTTGAATCCAATTAGCTAGCTCTCCCTGGATCCCATGTGACCTAACTTTCATGACTAGCCTGCCATGCAGGACCTTGTCAAAGGCCTTACTAAAGTCGATATAGACAACATCCACTGCCCTACCCTTATCCATCCTCTTGGTTATCTCTTCGAAAAACTCTAAAAAAAAAAAAAATCTGTCAGACATGACTTCTTGCACATAACTCCATGCTGACAATCCCTAATCAGACCTTGACTATCAAAATGTTGATTGATCCTGTCCCTCTGTATCCTGTCCAGTAACTTGCCCACCACTGATGTCAGGATCAGTGGCCTGTGATTCCTTGGCTTGTCTTTGCTACCTTTCTTAAAAAATGGAATAACGTTAGCCACCTTCCAGTCTTCTGAAACTACACCAGTGGCTAAAGATGAAGTAAAAATCTCTGCAAGGGCCTCTGCAATTTCTTCCCTAGTCTCCCACAACATCGGAGGATGGACTTGATCAGGCGCAGGGGATTTATCCACCTTAATGCGCTTTAAGGCTGCCAACACCACCTCTCTGGTAACATGCATGCGGTCCAAAACATCCCCACTTGTTTCCCTTATTTCCTTAGCATCCGTGATTCTCTCCTCCGTAAACACTGAGGAGAAATATTCATTAAAAATCTCCCCCATCTCCTGTGGTTCTGCACGTAGACAGCCATGCTGATCTTTAAGGGTACCTATTCTCTCCCTAGCCACCCTTTTAGTCTTAATATAGCTATAGAACCTCTTGGGATTATCTTTAACCTTATCTGCCAGATCCATCTCATACCCTGTTTTTGCTCTTCTTATTTCGCGCTGTAGTATGCTCCTACACTTTTTATAGTCATCTAGAATTTCACTTGAGCCTGATAGCTTAAACCCAATGTATGGCACCACTTTTTTCCTTTTCAGAGAGAACAAGGTTTCTTACCACAAAAATGATATAAAATTAACATGCAGACACAGCACAGGAAAACAAAAGTATAAAGTTTTTGAGAAGATTTGTAGCTCGGGTTGTGGATGAGCTCGTAGACTTGCCGAGCCGGTGTGTTTGATTGTAATTGTTTCGTCACCCTGCTAGGCAACACCGGAGGCGCACTGACGATGTTACCTAGCAGGATGACGAAACGTCCGCAATCAAACACACCGGCTCAGTGAGGAAGTCTACAACTTCAAACAAATGTATGATAGACCTTATTGTAAACGGATTGAGATATAATTATTAGGAAAGTTCAGTAAAATTATGTAGCATCTATGTGAGAGTTTATCTAGAGAAATATTGATAATTTACCTGAATCTCAAAACTAGGCATCCAAAAGGCACTATGGGCCATCATCATTAGTAGAATTGTAACCTCATAGTTTATCTCCCACTCTATCATTACTTAAGCCAGGGGATCAAATCTGGCTCATAAAAAAAGTGCACAAGGGCAAGGTAGGAACAGCACCAGATGTACCCATAAAAGGAGATGCCAACCTACTGCTGTTCCTACCAAAACTCCAAATCAGGATTACTTGCATACCAAACAGCGTGAGCAGCACATGATAGAGAGAGCTAAGTAATCCCACAACTAACAGATCAGATCTAAGTTTTCAACCATATCATAACTAGCTGTGAATGGTTGTGGACAGTTGAACAAGTCACTGGAGGAGGAATGTTTGCAAATGTCCCCATCCCCAATGATGGGGAGCCCAACGCATTGGTGCAAAACTCCAGGATTTGCAAACACTTTCAGTCAGAGTGCTGAGTGGATGATCAATCTCAACATCTTCTGAGGTTCACAACATCATAGAAGCCGGTCTTAAGTCATTTTGATATACTCCAAATCATATAAAGTGATAGCTAAAGCACTTGATTATCACCCTATCAGTCTACTCTCAATCATCATCAAACAGTGGAATGAGTCATCAATGGTGCAATCGAGCAACGACGCTCAGTTTTGGTTCTGCCCATCAACTCCTGACCTCATTACAATCTTGGTCCAAAAATGGACAAAAGAGCTGAACTCCAGAGTTGGGATGAAAGTGATTTCCCTCGACATCAAGGAAGCATTTGTTAGGCGCCCCAGCCTAACTGAAGTCATTGTGAATTAGTATAGAAAAATCCTCCAGTGGTTGGAGTCACAAGGGAAGATGTGTGTAGCTGTTAGAGGTCAGTCATCTCAGTTCCAGAATATCTTTGCAGGAGGTCCTAAGGGTAGTGTTCTAGACCAAGCCATCTTCAACTGACTCATAATGTCCGTCCCTCCAATGCAAAGTCAGAGATGGCGATGTTTAGCTGATGACTGTACAAAGAATATGAGGCAAAACCTGGACAATATTCAGGTTTATGCTGATGAGTGACAAATACTTGTGAGACGCAATGATCATCTTCAACAAGAGATAACTATCTCCCCATGGTATTCAATGGCATTACCATTGTTGATTTCCCCCCACTATCAAATTCTGAGGCTTCCCCATGGCCAAAGCTGAACTGGACCAACCTTACAAATATTGTGGCAACAAGAACATGTCAGAAGCTGGGAATTCTGAGGCAAGTAACTTGTCTTCTAACACGCCCAGGTCTGACCACCATCTACAAGCCATAGATTAGGACGATGATGGATTATTCCCCATTGCCGGGCTGAATTTAGCACGAACAACACGCAAGAAGCTGAACATCATTTTAAAGACTTTTTGTTGTATTTTCGATTGCGGGCTATAACGAGAAAAGAACTATTTTAGAAAAGACAATGATTGTTGAAGGGATTACTGAAGTTTTTGAAAGCAAGCCACCAGTACTTATCCTAATCTCTGGTTGCACAATTGTTGGTCAACCACTGGGGGAGATTT